AGCTCCTGGACTACTTCTACAGCGGCAAGGTGGTGATCTCCGAGCAGAACGTGGAGGAGCTGCTTCGGGGGGCCCAGTATTTCAACACACCACACCTTCGAGTTCACTGCAACGACTTCCTGATCAAGTCCATCCGCCGGGCCAACTGCTTGCGCTACCTCTTCCTGGCCGAGCTGTTCGAGCTCAAAGAGGTGTCAGACCTGGCCTACTCCGGCATTCGGGACAACTTCCACTACTGGGCCGGTCCCGAGGGCTCCCCGCACTTCATGCACTGCCCGCCTGTCATCTTCGGCCGCCTGCTGCGTGATGAAAACCTTCACGTGCTCAACGAGGACCAGGCGCTCAGCGCCCTCATCAACTGGGTGTCCTTCCGAAAGGAGGAGCGCGAGAAGTACTTCAAGAAGTTCTTCAGTTACATCAACCTCAACGCAGTCACCAACAAGACCCTGGCGTCTGCCAGGAACAAACTCGTGGGCATGGACAGCGGCTCGTGCCACATCACCCTGATCGAGAGCGTCCTGCTGGACCGCAAGCAAGAGCGGCCCTGCAGCCTGCTGGGCTACCAGCGCAAAGGCTCCCTGCTCGACTCTGTGGTCATCCTCGGGGGCCAGAAGGCCCAAGGCAAGTTCAACGACGGAGTGTTTGCCTACATCATCCAGGAGAACCTGTGGCTGAAGCTCTCGGAGATGCCCTACCGGGCAGCCGCCCTCAGCGCCACCTCCGCCGGTCGCTACATCTACGTCTCGGGTGGCACCACGGAACAGATTTCAGGGCTGAAGACAGCGTGGCGGTATGACATGGATGACAACTCCTGGACCAACTTGCCTGACCTGCCCATTGGGCTTGTGTTCCACACCATGGTGACCTGCGGGGGCACAGTGTACTCGGTGGGCGGGAGCATCGCCCCAAGGCACTACGTCTCCAACATCTATCGCTATGACGAGCGCAAGGAGGCCTGGTGCCTGGCCGGGAAGATGAGCATCCCCATGGACGGCACAGCCGTGATCACCAAGGGCGACCGGAACCTGTACATCGTCACTGGCCGCTGCTTGGTGAAGGGCTACATCTCCCGGGTCGGGGTAGTGGACTGCTTCGACACCAGCACGGGCGA